AGTTCCAGCAAAGATGGTTTAATTCCAGAGTTTTTTAAACAATCTGTCAATATTCTACTCCCATACCTTGAATTACTGTTTAATATGATTTTAGAAACGTCTTATTTCCCAAAAGATTGGATAATTGGTGTGATTATTCCACTACACAAATCTGGATCCTGTACTGATAAAAACAATAATCCAGGAATTACCCTTCTGAGTGTTTTTAGCAAAATCAATAAAAGGCACACCTTTTGGACAGATTCATGAGATAAAATTTTGGGAGAACAAGCATATTTTAGTACTCAACTACCAAGTAAACACTGAGAAAACGAAAGTATTAGTTTTTAAAAAGGGAAATAAATTATCAAGTAGGGGAAAATGGTTCTTCAACTCACAACCGTTACAAATTGTCACTTCTTATAAATATCTGGGGGTAACCTTCACAGGCAGATTATCGTGGACTTACCACACCAGTAATGCAGCAATGCAGGAAAAAAAAGATACCAATGGGAATCTTATAAAAACCTTCACTGAACTTTCTTATAAAACCTTTTTAAAACATTTAAAACAAAAATTACCCCCAATCTTTTATATAGAGCAGAGGTCTGGGGTCATGCTAAATACAGAACTATTGAACTGGTCCATCTATATGCTTGTAAACGATCGATTCCTTGGCGTAAAAAAAATGTACATTGAGTGCTATGGTGGTCGTGTACCACTTTACATATTTCAACATGTTAAAATTCTCAAGTAGTGTTTCAAGACTCTTAAAATGCCTATTGATAGATTACCAAGAAAATGTTATGATATGATGTTATTGTATGAAAAACATGGAAGCCGCAATCGGGCATATGATGTAACGTCGTTATTAAATGAATGCGGATATTGGTATGTTTGGCATAATCAATGTGTACCTAACAATCCAGATTCGTTTTTTGTATCTATACGGCAAAGACTTAAGGATATTTACCTAGAAAAATGGTCATCGCATGTTTTAAGTTCAGAAAAATGCAATTATTACAAGGTTTTTAAGACAACTATTTCCCCAGAATACTATTTGTTTTATATCAATTTTAAAAGATTTAGAATATGTTCAGCACTATTTAGATGCAGCTCTCATAGACTTAGGGTCGAAGTAGGCAGACATAGAAACAAAGCCAGAGAATTGAGAATATTAGAGCAATGTGGTTTAAATGTGATTGAAGATGAGTTTCAAGTTCTGTTAGTCTGTCCAAAATACGACCATCTATGAAGTAAATATATGGATATGCCTTTTTATGTACATCCCACTCAAAAAAGATTTATATCGATCACGCAACAACTGATAAAGATACCCTAAAAAACTTTCAATGTTCATTTATCATGCTATGTTAATTAGAATATGACCTGTTTAAAATATCTGCAACCACTCCCGAAAACAGAATTGTACTATGGGCCTGAGGCCTTTCAGCATGGAATAAAACTTATCCTTAATAGTAATAATAAGTTTAGTAAAGACATTATGATATTCACCTTAGTAAAAACGTTATAATATTCAGTGAAGTAAACACAAGTTAATTATGGAAGACCTCAAAAAGCAGCTTGTGCAGCCATGAGGAGACAGTTTGAAGGACTCCCAAGCCTACGTTCCGCGACACATGACGTCAGTACGTTCAACTTACGTGTTGCCTGTACAGGCTGTATAGCACTTTAATGCTGGGTACTACTGTTGACAAGCGTCGATGCTGATGACACATTCAGCTGAAATGTAAGTGGAGAAGAATGATAAAAATTAAAATACCGTTCTTCTCAATAGGAAAGCGACACCTTATCTATTGGTGTGCATATATACAAGTGTAAGGAAATGCTAAGTTTTGATAAAGCCTGCGACTTTATTTACTTACACCTTATGACCGCTTATTTATGTCGCGCCTGACAGCAGCCACGTCTGGCCCAAGCATCAAGGGAGGTAACCGAGGACAATTCGTACTACTCGCTGTCCATTTCAACCGTCTGGATCTCAGAGGGAACATCCTTGCATAAACAGACATGTAGTTACTGAATGATTTATATGCGCGGGAGATGCCCAGATATGCCTCACCGAGGCAATAAAATGTCTACTCTCGTAGAAATGTATAGCTAGCTATCGTAAGGTTCGGCAGTGCATGCGGATTTGTTAAACATTACTTCATTATTAGATAAAAAATAATGTTTACCGACATACCCCAAGAGAGACTCATTGAAGTCAGGTGAGAATCTCAATCCTGGACTTATCTTGCAAAAGTAATATATTCTCCCTTTTAACCAATCAATATCTGAATAGATACTATCCATGTAAATTACTGTATTGAAACTGTATCATTTCTCTAAGAGGTGAGGTGAGGTGAGGTCAGGTGAAATTGAGTTTAACATCACGTCCAAGATTATTGCACTTATAAAGCGACGTGCATGCACGCGCGTGTGACTGTGTGTGTGTGTGTGTGTGTGTGTGTGGCTGCTTGTCCGGGCTGATGCCGATTTATAGTGCCAGCTCACTGAGATACCATGCCGCAGTTTAAAATGAATACCCCACTCCAACACAGTATACTGACTCCGAGCCGAACAGTCCTTGTTTTAGCCCCTTAATGCCGAGCGCCAGACAGGGTAACAACAAGTACCATCTTTTAATGTATTTTGGTATGACGCGGCCGGGGATCGAACCCCGAACCTTCCACTCTCCGGGCGGACGCTCTACCACTAGACCACGGTGGTGGTCTCTGTCTCGAAAAAAAGAGTAGAGTGTCGACATGTTCTACAGCGTTCATTCTTATTGAACGTATACATGAACCCCTCCATTCACAAACATTTAGGGCGGTCGGGTAGCCTAGTGGTTAAAGCGTTGGCTCGTCACGCCGAAGACCCGGGTTCGATTCCCGACATGGGTACAATGTGTGAAGCCCATGTCTGGTGTCCCCCGCCGTGATATTGCTGGAATATTGCTAAAAGCGGCGTAAAACCATACTCACTCACTCACAAAGATTTACCGCTCCAGGAAGTAGGAATGGACTAGTCTTTTGGTATGACGCGGCCAGGGATCGAACCCCGGACCTTCCGCTGTATGGGGCGGACGCTCTACCATTAGACCACGGAGGCGGTGGTCATTTCTCTATGAGACATTGTCCAACAGCAGCACATATTCACGTTGACCCAAAGTAGGTCATGTTCTGGTAAAGGGGATAGAACACATGTCATGCCCTAGTGAAAAGCAATACAACATATATAGGTCACGTCCTACTGAACAACGTAGTTCATTCTCTAGTGTAAGGAATACAACATAGGTCATGTCCAAGTGAAAGGAATACAACATGGGTCATGTCCTAGTTAAAAGGTGTACAACATTGGTCATGCCCTAATGAAAGGAGTACAACATAGGTCTTGCCTAGGTGAAAGGAGTATAACATAGGTCATGTCCCAGTGAAAAGGAATACAACATATATAGGTCACGCCCTACTGAAAAGGAATACAACGTAGTTCATGCCCTAGTGAAAGGAGTACAACATAGGTCATGACCAAGTGAAATGCGAACAACATAGGTCATGTCCAAGTGAAAGGAGTACAGCATAGGTCATGAACAAGTAAAAGGAGTACAACAGAGGTCATGCCCTAGTGAAAGCAATACAATATAGGTCATGACCTAGTGAAAGGAGTAAAACATAGTTCAAGTCCAAGTGAAAGGCGTATAACACAAGTCATGCCTAAGTGAAAGGGGTACCTTATAGGTCATGTCCAAGTGAAAGGAATAGAACATAGGTCATGTCCTAGTGAAAAGGTGTACAGCATAGGTCATGCCCAAGTGAAAGGAGTACAACATAGGTCATGCCCTGGTGAAATGAGTACAACATAGGTCATGTCCAAGTGAAAGGAGTACAACATAGGCCATGAACAAGTGAAAGGAGTACAACATAGGTCATGCCCAAGCGAAAGGAGTATAACATAGGTCATGTCCAAGTGAAAGGAGTACAACATAGGTTATGTCCAAGTGAAAGGAATACAACATAGGTCATGACCAAGTGAAAGGAGTACATTATAGGTCATGTCCAAGTGAAAGGAGTATAACATAGGTCATGCCCTACTGAAAAGAAAAATAGCCTGGACCATGTCCTAGTAATAAGGGAGAGGGGAGAGAGTTATTTCCAAGGTCTTGAATTTGCACATGGCCCTACATACCTTTATTACATTCATCCCTTATATTCACGGCACCTATCCCCTTCCTCTTTAGGAATTGTTACCAACGTCCAAATATCCAGTTCAATATATTCCTTGAATGGTATCTCAAAACCTTAGCCTGTTGATGGAGAAGCTCAATACCAAGAGCTTCAAATAGCTGGTTGAAACAATATTCTGTGGTAGTGTTTACCATTGACCCTATAGCAAATAGGCAAGCAGTTACCACCCTGTGTGTTGGCTGGAGGGATTCTATCTCAGATAGTTTTTGAAACTGTTGATCCACGACTCATCGATAGACATCTCAGAGATCTTGGTTAAGAAGTTCTTTCCAAAGGCTTGAAGTAGCATATCCCAATAGAACCTTATCACGTTCGTCTCTAATATACTTCTAGCGGATAATATACTACAGAGTAACTGTGCTTCATATAAAGTGGTGTAAATATTATGTTCATGACAACAACAACATAATATTTTGCCATCCGTCTGATCAAAGTTTTATCATAACAAATTCATTAACAAAACCCTTAAATGGTAACAGGAGACAGAGTGACACGCCCTAAATAGTGGGGTTGTAACAACTCCATTAAAAATGTCAACATCCGTTGTGACCACCACAACTGGCGAGGAAGCAGCGGTGCATTGAAGACACCAGATGGTTGAAAACAGCCAACTGAGCTCGCGTTAACGCCTGGTTCTGGTCCCGTTGTAGGCGTTTTTACCATCTTATCCCAGACATATTCTATAGAGGAGAGGTCAGGCGAAAATGCCTTCCATAGTAGTACAGCAATGTTATGCTGCCTCAAAACGTCTGTTATATTTCAACCAATCACGTCGTAGTACGTGATCACGTGAGATAGCGAAAGCGAGGTCAGAGTCAGTGCGATTAACGAGTTCCAAAGTTAGACACGGTTGATTTTACTCTGACAATTCGGGGTATAAATCTACGTCAATTTCCACTCATCGTGGTACAATTACCAGTTGAGTAGGGTTGTGAAGCCTCAAAGTGATACAATTATCATTTGAGGGTAGCAGTGGCCTGGTTGTGAACCAGCACGAGTCTCGACTGGAGAGAAGCCCTAGGGAGCGAGCCCACCCGCCCGCCATTATGGCATCGGAGAAGCTGCAATCAGCTGTAACCTCTCCGAACTGTGACCTAGTTTGAGAAATCCTCAAGGGGTCGGAGATGTCCAGATCTCAGTCTAGCTGTGGCCAGAGGACAAAATCTCAGAAATCTGCGTCCCGTCCAGAGTGTGGTGAGAAGCCTACAGACCCAGAGTCAAATACCAGTGGTATGCACAGCCGTGCGCGTGACAGTACCAATATGGCGGCGGATCGGCCCCCAGAGGAGAGGCCGTTAACACAGGAATATCTGCTCTCACAGATGATGGCTCAAAGTATGCACACTCAGCAACTGATTGTTGGAATGTCGACCTCAATATCTCAGTTTGGGGATACCTTCACAAGGTTAATGCAACATAATGTTGAGAAACGCCCAGCTCAAGATGTGCTCGATGCCTCCAGATTGTCAAAAATTCGGAGATCTGGTGACGATCCTTGTGTAGATGCTGGTGAAGGATCTGATCACAGTGAATATGAAGCAGACTTAGAGGATCTGTTTGATGATGCGCAGTCCACTCAGAACACTGTTCTTACTGCACGGTCCCTTCAGCACAGCCACACCTCAGCCCCGGATCTGTCTCAAGTCGTGTGTGACGACGTTGGTTCAGGTGACACAGCAGAAGATGGGGACATTCTTGATTCACTGTTGGAGGATTATTCTTGTGAGGGCCAAGTTGGGCCTCCTATCAATTCAAAACTAGCTGCTGCTATGAACAAGATGATGTTCCAGAAGATGGGTGATGACAAATTCAAATCCAAAACTCAGGCCTATGACAGACCCAAGAACTGTGATATGCTACAAGCGAGCAAAGTCAACCCAGAAATCTGGGGCAGATTGCGGGCACACACCAGGTCTAATGACATCAAGATGCAGAAGCTTCAAACCTGCCTTATTACAGCTACAATGCCCATTTTACAACTGACTGACACATTGTTGAAAGTCAAGAATAAAGAACTTTCTCATGATAAGTTAAATGTGAATGCCCTTGCCAAGCTGGCAACGGATGCTGTCTCCCTCATATCCCATGCTAACACCGAGCTTAATCACCGCAGGCGTGAAATGCTGAAGCCTTGTTTAAACAAGCAATTCCAACAGCTCTGCTCGCCTCAGACGCCAATGTCCACTCTGTTATTTGGCGACAACCTGGCGGAGACCATAAAAGACATGAGTGCTACTAACCGCGTCAGCGGTCAGGTTACCACCGGCCATGTGTTTTCCGGCCCACGACCCAACAGACCGTCAACTTCACGGCCTTCATTCACTTATCCCCCACATCGGCCTTCTCAAGGCAGAGGCAGGGTTTTTTTAGCGAAGGAATATCAAAACTTCAAAAAGAAAAGAATGGATCAGGAGAGGAAATACTAGAGACTGATGCCCAGGAGGTAAGACGAGACACTGTTACACAAGATGTTTTCCAGGCGGGCAGACTCAAGTTTTTTCTCCCTGAAAGGGAAAAACTTACATCTGACAGTTTTGTCTTACAAACCGTTACAGGTTGCTATATTGATTTTGATACGCTCCCGCAGCAAACCCAAATTCCACGAGAAATAAGTTTTAATGACAGTGAACATTGCATTATTGCTAACGAAATTGCGAACTTAAAGAAGAAAGGAGTGGTACTCAAATCTCATCAAGAACATGGACAGTATGTGTCAACTATATTCATTCGCTTGAAGAAAGACGGTTCCTATCGCCTTATCCTGAATTTGAAACATTTGAATGAAAACATTGATTATGTTCATTTTAAGATGGAGAGTCTGTCCGCCGCCATCTCCTTAGTCAGGAAAGACTGCTTTATGGCATCCATTGACTTGAAAGATGCGTATTACTCAGTGCCCATTCACCCAGATCACCAGAAATATTTGAAATTCACGTGGCAAGGACAACTGTATCAGTTTACCGCGCTTCCGAATGGACTTAGTTGTGCCCCCAGATACTTTACCAAGATTCTCAGAGCACCTTACTCATATCTACGGTCGAAAGGTCACATGAATGTTGGTTACATTGACGATTCGTTTATCTCGGGTGATGACAAAAGTGAGTGTAGAGCGTTTGTACAAGAAACAGCGGAACTGTTCACACGTCTCGGGTTTATCATACACCCAGTGAAGTCGGTTATGATACCAACGCAGGAGATTGTGTTCTTGGGATTTGTTATCAACTCAGTCGTGATGACTGTTTCCCTCACGTGTGCGAAAGCTACCAAAATTCAGTCTTCGTGTATCAGGCTACGGAATAAGCAATTCATCACCATACGAGAATTAGCTGAAGTAGTGGGTAATCTTGTGGCAAGTTTCCCAGGCGTCAGGTTAGGACAGCTCTATTACCGCCAGTTGGATAACACCAAGTCCAGAGCAATGCGGGCGTCAAAAGGCAACTATGATTACGTTATTTCTCTGCCGGACTGTGACAAGTCTGATTTGAATTGGTGGATTAATCATGTTCACACGGCGTGCAAACCTATTTCCGTTGATCCCCCCGTTACTCACCCTCACGTCGGACGCATCAAACAGGGGGTGGGGGGGAGCGTGCAACGAACTGTCCACTGGGGGACACTGGTCACGTGACGAGGCGGAATTACACATCAACTACTTGGAGTTATTAGCGGCTTTCCTCACTCTGCGTACTTACTGTACAAAGATGTCTAATTGCCACATCAAACTGTTGATTGATAATACAACAGCGGTTGCGTACGTGAACAACATGGGTGGAAAGAAACCAACTCTGAACAAATTAGCCAGGGACTTATGGGAGTGGTGTTTGTATAAGGACATTTGGCTCAGCGCTGCACATCTTCCTGGTAAGCAAAATACTGTTGCCGACCGAGCATCACGGGTGATCAAGGACAACACTGAATGGTTTATCGCGTCCCGTGTTTTCAACAAAATTTGCCAAATTCTCGGTACACCTGACATAGACTTATTTGCGTCTAGGCTGAACTATAGACTTAAGAAGTATGTTTCTTGGCGACCGGATCCGGATGCATATGCAGTTGACGCATTTTCTATATCATGGACATCATATTTCATCTATGCATTTCCACCTTTCAGTCTGTTGAACACTGTACTGAAGAAGATAGAAGAAGACAAGAGCAGCGGTATACTGATTGCCCCAGTGTGGTCTACCCAGCCGTGGTTCCCTCGTCTGCTCCGGCTGATCAAGCATCCTCCAGTGATTCTACCTCCAGTACGACAGGTTCTCCTCTTACCACACAACGAAGGCACAACTCATCCCCTAACAAAAATGAAAATGGCAGCATTTCTCTTGTCCGGAGATCTCTCCAGAGGAGAAATGTATCGCAACGAGCTACCGAAATCATTCTCCAGTCCTGGCGAAAATCCACAAGAAGACAGTATGACTCGTACATCAAACGCTGGCTTCTCTTTTGTGGTAAAAGGCAAGTTGATTCACTGTGTCCATCTGTGACGGAAGTGTTAGATTTCCTGTGTGAACTATACGACGACAATTTAGGGTATAGCGCTCTGAATTCAGCTAGATCAGCGTTATCATCTGTGATTATCTTAGACACTGGTACCCTGGGTTCTCATCCGCTCATAAACAGATTTATGAGAGGTGTGTTTCAGTCACGTCCAGCTCTTCCTAGAAATACTGTTACCTGGGACACTGACACTGTTCTGACATATCTGAAAACAAAGTCACCTGTGAAGAAACTGTGCTTGAAAGACTTGACATTGAAAGCTGCTACTCTTTTAACTCTATTGTCAGGCCAGAGACTGCAATCTATACATGCTTTAGATATTAGAAATATGACTGTTTCCTCTGCTTGTTGTAAGTTTAGAATAGGTAGTTTAGTTAAGCAGTCTAGACCTGTGTTGTGACAGTGATGCGTGAATACCTGGACAAAACAGCGCCCTTGCGCGTTGATGAAACACAGTTGTTAATTGGCTACACTAAACCCCACAGGCGTGTAGCAAAGGACACGGTGTCAAGATGGGTGAAACGTGTACTCGAGCTGAGTGGCGTGGACATAAGTATATTCAAACCACACAGCACCAGAATGGCCTCTACAAGTGCTGCTATGAGACAGAATGTGCCTTTGCAAACCATTCTGACTACAGCCGGGTGGAGTGGATCCTCCACATTTACCAAATATTACAACAAACCTGTAAATAATGACTCTGCGTTTGCTTTGTCAATTCTCGATAAAAGTTCTTGTTAATGAAAATTGCTCAGTCACATCATTTGAAGCTGTAAATTATATCTGAAATAAACTCAATTTGTTTATCAGTGACTGTTTTGTGGTTTGTTTGAAACCCTGAACGCTTTAAACATCTCACGTGATCACGTACTACGACGTGATTGGTTGAAATATAATTGAAAATTAAACGAGACTTACAAGTAAGTTGAAGTTTGATTAAGATTATATGAAACTAATCACAAGTATAGGGATCACGTGCCCACCCTACTACTGCAGTAGCTGTCTCCCACCCTGTGTGGTTACGGGTTTCAGACACTTTAAAGTCTGACTCTGACCTCGCTTTCGCTATCTCACGTGATCCCTATACTTGTGATTAGTTTCATATAATCTTCATCAAACTTCAACTTACTTGTAAGTCTCGTTTAATTTTCAATTATAACACGTGCAAAATGTGGGTGGGCATTATCCTGCTGCACCCTGACGTTACGTCCCTGCATTTTCACAAAGGGTAGAACATGATCTCTAACGATGTCGTCCCGTTAGAGAGTCCGTCACATTGCCATTAACAATGATGAGTTGTGATGCCACCTCCAAACTGACGACGTTGACGACGTTGAGCCTTGTATTCGTTCGTCATGCCGAAGGCTCGGTTTCGATTCGTCTCTTGGGTACAATCGTTATTTACGGTTGAACAAAAGTGTTGTTTATGAGCACCTGATAGCTTAACAATTATCAAGCGCTCTTCACATTAAAAAACACTTGTATGAGCATCATGCTCTCAGCAAACACGTGTATGAGCATCATGCTCTCAACAAACACGTGTATGAGCATCATGCTCTCAACAAACACTTTTATAAGCATCATGCTCTCAACAAACACGTGTATGAGCATCATGCTCTCAGCAAGCACGTGTATGAGCATCATGCTCTCAGCAAGCACGTATATGAGCATCATGCTCTCAACAAACACGTGTATGAGCATCATGCTCTCAGCAAGCACGTGTATGAGCATCATGCTCTCAGCAAGCACGTGTATGAGCATCATGCTCTCAACAAACACGTGTATGAGCATCATGCTCTCAACAAACACGTACATTCTTAATCATTACCTTAACGTCGAGGAGATGTTTTCATGAAGCTGTTCTTAACTACCAAGACTCCTCTTTTAGCAACTACAGCTTCCTTGGCCTAGAGGTAGAGCGTCTGCGTCATACAAAAAAACGTTAAAGGGTGGTACGTGTTGTTACCCTGTCTGGCGCCCGGCATTAAGGTGCTAAAACAAGGACTGGTCGGCTCGGAGTCAGTATACTGTGTCTGAGTGGGGTATCCATGTTAAACTGCCGCATGGTATCTATGTGTGCTAGTACTATAAATAGGCATCAGTCCGGACTAGTACAAGCACACACACACACACACACACACACACACGTGCATGCACGTCGCTATAAAAGTGCAATAATCTTGGACGCGACGTTAAACCCAATTTCACCTCACCTTTTAGCAACTGCACATCCCAGCGTCACACTGCCTAGTTCAATATGTCCAATGTCTTGCACATATGGCATCCTTGCTGTTGGTGAAGCTCAATATCAAGTGGTTTAATGAACCGGTTTAAAATCTTCTGTAATGGCGGTTACTATATATATTGATTCTGGCAATCTAAAAGGCAATTAGTGTCCACCAAACCCATGGATACTTTAATGACGGCACAATCAGCAATTATGTGGGGGAAATCTTGGAGTTGCAAATGGTCAGATGAGCCGTTATCATATCCTTCTACTACCCGACTCAGCACAGTGTTTCAGATATGCAGCAACTTGGATACCTTCAGACCGAGCCTGCTGTTGGTCCCTGCCAGTGCCTCTGCTTTGCTGGTAATAACGGCCACTACCTCGTCCACAGCCTCTGGCTCTCTGGTTCTGGTAAGAAATATTTGGGCAATCGCGAACATACTGGCTCGGATTGTTGTCGATCTGGCAGTCTCCTTGTATGTAAGGCTGGGGTTGCTGTGAGATCAAATGGACTTTTGAAGCATTTGAGAAAGTTGTTTTAGTTCCTTTCGTAGCCACACGTCCCTTACATTTCCTGCAAACTGATGTTTTGTGATGGGCATCTTCGAGGAGTTCACTGAGAGAATCCTCTGGTGAAAGTTTGACTGACCCTAACTTTCTTGAGTGAAATAAAATAAAAATTCGCCATACAACCCTTGTGCCTGGAACTTTATCGAACAAAATAACTTGTCCCAGACAATGCTTAAAAAAAATAACTATGCTTTAAATTGTTGAAAAGAGAAGAGTGCGTGAGGTTTTACGCCGCTTTTAGCAATATCACGGCTTCAAACATTGTACCCATGTCGGGAATCGAACCCGGGTCTTCGGCGTGATGAGCGAACGCTTTCACCACTAAGCTACCCGACCGCCCCTGAAAAGAGAAGAAATTGTGAGTGAAAGAGTGAGCAGATCTATATGACTTTACGCGCCACTTTGAGGAAATGAGCTTCACACCCCTTGTGAGGAATGGAAACCGACCGAGCCTTCCCCATGACGAGGGAATACTAGCCTAAACCCCTAAACTTTGATAAGATTATGTAAACTGATCAATAAAGTCAAAATTAACGCTTATATGAGATTAGCGTTTATAGATTTTTGTCTGCATTAATTACGAATAAAGTGAAAACATAGTTTAGACACCCGGTCGTTCATCTTTCTTGGGGGGGCGGTCGGGTAGCCTAGTGGTTAAAGCGTTCGCTCGTCACGCCGAAGACCCGGGTTCGATTCCCGACATGGGCACAATGTGTGAAGCCCATTTCTGGTGTCCCCCGCCGTGATATTGCTGGAATATTGCTAAAAGCGGCGTAAAGCCATACTCACTCACTCATCTTTCTTGAAAATTGGTCCGTCTTATATCCGATCCCTGAACCGTTTTTACTACAATCTCCGGTACGTTTTGGCAAAGGTACAGTTTTCACTGGTAACCGTGTAAGGAATGAGCTGGTTCTCAGATCTCTCTGCACACCGTCAATATATTACATTATGAGACGGAGCCCAGCTTATTAATGGCAACACATCACATCGTTCCCGTATCACTAAAGTCTGGGTAAGGAAGTATCACAAGTTTAGGATGCTAACTGTAAAGTAATGCTGACAGGTCAATGAAGAAAAGATTGCACCAACTAGTGAACAATGTTCAATACTCGGCTGATAAAGACATGACATAGCTTGTTTTTATGACCCCTTTGACGTGTTTCTGTATCCAGTTTGACACATATAAATGATGTCATATAACAGGGCTCGATTTAGCTGTATAAAACATGCACCAATGCAGTCTCTGGCGAAACCGCATTATCGGTGGTTCGAGAAGGGAGCTAACTCCGTTTGCCTAATCGAAAGTTCGAGGCGGGCCCACATTCGAAACTAAACGCACTTGTTGTTGAGAATATATACTACGTAAACAAACCCGCATTACAAACTGCTATTTTGTCTGTTTAAAATAAGTATTATGACTTATAATTGGATTAGAATGTACAAATGCGATGACAATACAGCAGAACTCACTTCTACGAACATCGCCAAACTAGGTCGTGGGGTCATTAATATTCATGAGTTATTCCTTTAATGGAACAAGTTCTCGGAAAAGTTTGAGGCTTGTATATATATGTCCGAGATCAATTCAAGTGTAGACATATTTTCAGGCTTATATCGCCACCAAAACTTAATGATTAGATTGGTGTGTTATACTGGAAAAAGTAGAATGAGTGGTATTGCCTCTGTAAATTATATTTGAAGTAGATCTAAGTTTCTTGCTTTGTAACTATTTTTGCAAAACTAGTGTGGTCAGCTATGATGACGTTATTCAAACTTCAAAGACTTGGTGTGCCTTTCGTGGAATTAACGTGACACTAAATGATTTATAAAGATATTTCCCATCCTTGTTACAAAATGAGAACAATATATAATGTCATACCCATGCAAAGCAATGACAAATGTGAGCCCACTAGCCTAACTGACTTCGTCAACCCAATGAAGCCCAGCGATTTACAAATGTTGGCCCACCAGCCTGGTTCCCTAGGTATGCTGCGCTGGCGCTAAGGCAATGACTGCACAAAGGCCGCCTCCACTAGAAGAACAAACATGGCGGACACGCCATGTATTTACTATAAAAAGAACGGGTGATAAAAAAAGTTTTCTTAGCATTTTTATGAATGCTCTTGCAATGTATATGTCACGAGAATAACGTCCGTTGTTACTTTTAGTGAAGGAAAACATTATTTAAGCTGTTTCGAGACTCGAAAGTGGTTGTCACATCGGTGAAATGTAAACATTGACACACACCCCATTTTCAACAGTGATATGAGCGTTAATATTTCGTGTCGGCTCACTGTTATCACGAAATCGTATACATAATACATGGAATTAAACGACCAAGTCAATGAAATACCATTGGCATCTTTATTTTAGCAAATTTGATGAAGTAAATGTCGCCGATTTTTGCCCCGTTTTCTCCCATTGTGAAATGGTGGTTTAGCGAAATTATTGAACGTCTAGTATCCTTAATAATTGTGTTTAATGATAGGGTCTGTCATTGATTCTGACATTTGGCTTCTGGATTTTATTCACATGAAATGCCATTTATTTGGCATTTGTTTTCTTATTACACAATGAAATTAATCATAAATACATCTGATAATTTTGGAAAAATAATTGATTAATTCCAATCTAGTATTTTTTAACTATGTGTGTGCTTGTAAAAATGTCGGGTGTGAATGGCATAATAAAGAATATGTTAATTATTTTAAATTAAAGTGGTACAGTGGCACACACACCATTGTGTATTCTCTTTTTCACATGATGAAAAAAATAAAATTGTAACAATAGTCATGATGTGGCAATTAATCAACTGAAGACACTTAAGCATGAGGTTATAAAAAAAGTTTTATTATAAATTACACCATTGGCCGGTTTTCTGGCTGATATGGAAAATCACTTTGCCATGAAATTCTACTAGATACCAATGCCATGTTTGAAATCCAGACGTCCAAACAGTTTGTCCTGAAAGTGGCCACTGATTTTGTCAAGAAAACCAGAGGAAACTATTTGTGAAACACACACTTTCAAGGGCTGTAGTTTATCAAAGACTTATTTGGTAAAAAGCTAAGCAGTTGTTAACATTTAATAATGTTCCCATCTGTCAATTGTCATAAACATGATATTTGGGGTGGGGGAGTGGGGGTTGTCACCAAGTTATGATCCTACATATATTATTTATCATCAAAATTCAAATAATGCATTCTAAGGAACACACATGCAAGTAACAAATAACCATAACTTTCAAGCAAATTAAAAACAATTTTAATTTAACATGTATCTACTGACCAATCTACATTAACTCCAAGGGGTTTTCAACAATCAGACATATGAACAAATTGAACAATCTAAAAACATGCAAAGCTGATGAACATGATGCCCTGAATAAAAGCAAAAACAAAAATTAACATTATCTGTTTTTGAACTTGTGAGTATGTAATTTACCATGCAAAATTGGTCAACAAGCTCATTATGAATTCTCCTGAATTCAAAGCAAAATCACTGATTGTGTGTTGATCCAGGTATGGAAGCAGTACTGTTAAAGCATAAGAGTGTGAAGCAATGCATCATTTTATCCACTGGATGAATAAATGGTGACATCATACTACATGTATGTGATTTATTGCTTCTGTCAGATCTACGTGTATATCATGCTCTGAATGTTTTCAGTATGTGCTTTGATTCTGGCTTTAAGCCCCCAAAACTATGATACTCATAGTCAAGACAGGTTTCATTGGTACCGGTAATCATCATCCCTAGTTAAACAGTTCACAAATAAATAGTGGAAAGTACACATGTCTTCAGCTTTCATCCTCAAATATTACAATTTCTGTGCACTTTTAATGTTATTTATTACCATCATGATCATATACTGGTTTTTTTTCCTTTGGTTGAACAATAATGTAACTTAACATCTTTTACTGAGAAGTTTATTTGTAGATAATTTCGTACACAGATATTTCATCTAACATGATGATTATAATCAAAACTATTTTTCAATAATAATGGTATGAACACTTTATGTTGTTCTGTACACGGATTCCACAGTGGCTATATTGCATCATATAGAATACTCATGGATGTGTATGCCACTGTACCAAATTAATTATGATCATATTCTTTATTATTATCCCATTCAGACCAGTCATTTTAACAAGTACACATATAGATCTAGTTCAGAAACACTAGATTGAAATTAATCCAATATCTATCCAAAATAATTAGATATATTTATGATTAATTTCATTGTGTAATAAGAAAACAAATGCCAAATAAACGGCTTTTCATGTGTATAAAATCCAGAGGCCAAATATCGGAACCAATGACAGACCCTATCATTAAATACCATTATTACGGATACTAGGCGTTCAATAATTCCGCTTTACCGCCATTTCACAATGGGAGAAAATGGGGTATAATCGGCGACATTTACTTCATCAAATTTGCTAAAATAAAGATGCCAATAGTATTTCATTGGCGCGGTCGTTTAATTCCGTGTTTTATGTATACGATTTCGTGATAACAGTGAGCTGACACGAAATATTAACGCTCATAATAATGTGGGCCCACTTGTTTCGATCACCATAGATGACGGGAAAAATGTGGGCCCACATAATGCACATTTAAGAAAATGATTATCAGCACTAAACCAAACTTAGAAGATGTACGGATGGAAACATAAATATATAATGCATTCAAACATTTAATTAGGAATACGTTTGACCTTAGGGATAAGCTGGGCATTTAATAGCTGGACCAACAACGTACAGCGTGAGTGACGCCATTTCTCGCAAATATGAAAACAACGGAGATGGCTCCCGTTTGAAATTAGAGTGACCTCCCTTTCCCACAAGCTCCTTCCCAGCGTGTGACTGCTTCTATTCGTTACACTCTCGGTAGTATTAGAGAGCTCCGCGAACGGACTACCGCTGTGAGGAGCTTGATATGGACCACTGATAATGTGGTTTCGCCCAGTCTCTTACTGAAAAATGCATCCTTATATATTTGTCTAGATGTTCCAAGTGTCAGGCTGGGACGGGTCCAAAAGTACTACCCAGGTACCCACCCCACTATTACCCGACCCAACCCGGGTTCCTTCTGTATAAACGATCTGGTCATGCAAACACTGAATTTGACTAAAGTTTTATCTCCATTCAAACACTGTATCACTTCTATATGCCTTTATTCAAACATAAAAGTCAGAAGGAATGGGTGCATAGTCAGAACGAAATGCAAACATTAGTGAACCATAGAGTTCCAGAAATCTTTTGTCATTAAACACTATATTACGTGACTAACTACGGGTCCGGGTAGTCCTGTGGGTTCTCAGGTCCTTCTCAGGACCTACCCGAACAGAGTCCCCGAGTTTCCCGGGCCGTCCCAGCCCTAGCCAAACAAATTCAAATTTTTGTCTGACCACAGACTTTATGGGTCGGTGGTCTAACTAACCCTTACTTGTCCACACAACATCCGTATTTCAACCCCTCAATACCTCTAAGCTTTCTTTACCCAGAGATCATAAAAATAATTACCATCCTGTATCACTATAATTGCTGTTAGGTGTAATTCATGACACTGTGACCAGAGATCTTAGCTTACATTTATTTATACCAGATTATTCATCTAATGTTTCAACTTTGATAAATTTATGGGACCAGGGTGCAGTCAGCTTAATCTGGTGCAAATAGCTGTTCACGTCACCATGCACCTGGAGCAAGTTAAATCAAGTTCCTTAAACTAAGCCCTGTATCAATGAGTTTCTTATACTGTGGAATTATTCTTTTGCATTTTGAAGTTGACTATTTATGGACTGGTGATATGAAGAGGATACAGCAGGCACTATGTACTCTGTCGACTGGTGTGTTGAGAAGATTGCTTGTGTGTTCTGTGGGAATGGCAGCAGCTGCAGTGCCAGTTAGCCGGGTCACATGGTCACAGTACCAAACTCTCTACAACCAGCTGAGGTGCCAAAGGTGGACAACTCAAGGAAGGAGATGTTTTATTTCCACATCATCAGTGTGGGCTACAGGCGAGGGTAAGAAAAGGAGTTTATGAGTTTATGAGTTGTCATCTGAAAAGTGTACTAGCTTGTGTTATGATAATATGAAGACAACAAGTGCATATGTACAGTTACACTCACCCACACTAATAAACTACCAGGCCTACACAGGCCTACTTACAGAATGGCTCCACCCTGGAAAGATGTAGGCATTCTTTTTAACAGTGGTGGATTACTGATGTAGAAGTACTGTTGATACTGTAGAAACTGAGTAATTTAAGTCCAAAAAAAGTCCTTATGGTCCCGATGACAATAGACAGGCTCCAGATCAACACATTATCAAATGCTGCACAACATGTTTATTTATGTCCTAATAATGTTAATTTTGAAACGAGCGCTTTAGCGTGAGGTTCCAAATTATAATAAAGAGATATCTATTCTACAGTGGGACTACATCAAATTTCAAAACATGGTAGGTTTATCTCCATTCTGCCATGACGGCAACAACGCTTTGAAAACGGCGCTCTCTTGCAACACGTAACAGCACAGGCACACAGGTCTGCAATCTTAGAACATTCTGAAAAGTGGTCACAGGTAGTATATATGTAACAATTATTACTAAAGTTCAAGATTAAAAATACCATAGTCGTGAGTACTCAGCCGTCTGAGTAGTTCATAATAAGTGTTCAAAACACATAGGTTTTCAAAATAAGTTGACAAATAACACTCCAAACTTAGTCCAAAGAGAGATGTTTTAATTCTACCAAACTGTTGTACACTGTTGTACACTGTAGACTGACTGTCATTTATCGCAATTTTACGAGAACGGTCATTTCTTGGAAATCGAACATGCCATCATTTCTATTGTAGGGGTGACAGGTTATAGAAAAAGTTTTAAAACGATAAACGAATACATTTCTACAACAAACTTTATGAATTAACATTCTATTATACATTTAAAATGTGTAAGTGTTATAAGTTAGTTAGCAATTACCCCCAGTAAACAATAATAAAATCAAAATAAATGCCTCTCCACCCCGAACTTGGATGAGGCAGAACTTGACCTACATCACAGTTACTCACACCTCCCTGCTGTCAATGGCTGACAATCTTGTGTTTACATTCTCCGTAACGAGTTATAGAATGAAGCAAGATGACAACCCCGATCTATGATGTGGTTCAACATTAACATGTAGATTATCTGGGATTGATTGAGCCTGCTGGTACATCCATATGATTACCAATGTGACTGAGTATGACTGAGCAGCTGCCTTTTAGGCTGCAGACGAGCCTGATATTTTGAAACGAGGAATCTGCATGCTGTGACCTGTCAATTTCAAGATTTCACAGATCCAAAGCCAGATAGTGACAGAACTTAGACATTTGTGAACCAGAAATAGAGGATCGTATATGATTTTCTTAATTGTGTGTGTTCTGAAATGAATTTGTCAAGTTTGATAAGATGTCGCTTCAGTTGGGACATTGTTTTCGTGGACTTTCGAAGGGGGGTGTTTTCTTATGTACTTTCAAATCCCATCCTGCCAAATCCTAACGGTGGTGGTTGACGGAGGAAATAGCTTAAATTGTTCCGATTCTGGTTGCCATAGAACATTTCTCTAACAGTTTCATAAACATTTCATTTGTATGCAAAAGATATGCCTTCGTTAAATCTTTTAATGTCATCATCGAGGCAGTCAGGGTTGCGGCCTAGAACGCCCCAAACATCCGATATCAAACTACCGTATTTCCTCTACTTGACGCCACCCCGTCCATTAATTTCGCGAGAGCCCTTGACTCGGCGTGTATTAGATACCTGGCTGGTATCAGAGACCCAGCGTGTATTAGAGGAATTAAGATTCGTTTTACAGTTTATATGGGGGTGATCGAACATCAGCCATTTTTTATGAATCGATATGTAGACTTTCTATGTATTCATGCGCATGTTTTTGTGAAAAGGCTTAATATATTTGAAAGGGGTTTCAGTAGCAAAAAGGAAACCTCTTTTTAACCAATCAGAATCAAGCATTCATCAATGTCATGGTAGAATTACAGTTTTCCCTCTTTATGTTTCTATGTTTGTCATCACCATACATGTGCTTGTGGGTTTCATCTATGTGGTAAACATCTAACACCTAAATCATTTCAGGCTTTCCTCCCACATCAAGCTGACATATTATGATATGACTGAAATACTGTTCAAAGAGGCGTTAAACAAAACCCATTCACTTTGTATCTAACCTGAGATCAGGATCCTCGTTCACCCAAGGATGTATATACGTCTTTGGTTCACCTGACCAATGAGGCTATCGGTGCCCACAGCCATAAAGTGTTGGAGCCCTTTACCTATGTTGGGACTTGAACCACAGATCTGATATGAGCTCAAACACCTTGTCCACACGACCAAAGAGGATCAAGAATGTCATCTGTGGACTGATTTCACATCTTGCTACAAACAAAATATACATATATTTCTTACCAAATGCATGATTAAAATCCTCTGTCACACAGTGAAGTTAGTCTCCATTTTCTGCAGATACTATGAAACAGTGGCTGATGTCATATGTTGCTATAAACATTAAGGTTGAGAGACTTGAAGACAAGAGCTTCTGCGAAAATTTAATAAAATTGAGTAGCAATATGCAATAAATATAATATTCAGACTATCTTGCCCAAAATCATGCTTTATATCACACTTAGTGAATGAGAAAAGGTACATTAAATATCATTTTTGATCTTCAGTTTGTGAGCTTTGGCATTTCAGTTTGAATATCCACTGTATATAGGTTATTATCCCCCGCCCAACGAAGTTGGCGGGGGATATAGAAACGGGCTCCGTCCGTCATGTTTCGTTTCCGGAGCATAACTCATAAACCGTTCAATATTTTTTCATGAAACTTTGCAGGTCTGTCAGGTACAAGCTGAACTGGTGCCTTTTGCTATTGAGAAATTTTAGAAATATTTATTTTTTACGTTTCCATGCCAACAAGATGGACTTAGGTTCTGTGAGGGTAGGGTTCGTTTCCGGAGCACAACTCATAAACCGTTCAATATTTTTTCATGAAACTTTGCAGGTCTGTCAGGGACATGCTGAACTGGTGCCTTTTGCTATTGAGGAATTTTAGAAATTTTTATTTTTTACGTTTCCATGCCAACAAGATGGACTTAGGTTCTGTGAGGGTAGGGTTCGTTTCCGGAGCACAACTCATAAACCGTTCAATATTTTTTCATCAAACTTTGCAGGTCTGTCAGGTACATGCTGAACTGGTGCCTTTTGCTATTGAGAAATTTTAGAAATATTTATTTTTTACATTTCCATGGCAACAAGATGGACATGGTTCCAAACTCATCTTTTTTTAAAAATTTCCATGACAAGTTCCTTCTCGGTTAAAAAAGGTTAGGGTTTGTTTAGATTCAATTATGTCATAAATTCTGCAACAGGGGCGGGGGATATAGCCACGTTAGTGGCAAACTCTTGTTGTTATATATTTGGTGATAACTAGGACTCTGTGTTTCAGACTTCATCGTGGACAGCATTGATGACGAGGACAAGTATGTTTGTGAGATCAGTAACATTGCTGACAGTGGCCACCAAGTGTTGGTGGTGCAGCCAGGTTTGTAGTCAAGGCAACAGGGATCTAACGTCTATTTCATGTTTTCTGTTCGATTTTAACAAAATTTAATGTTAAACTTTCTTCATCATAAATTACCATGCATACTGTAAAACATGAAAATACTGTGATCAAGGAATTATTTTGTAATTCCGTTCATGCGAGTGTGCCTTGCTCACATTAGTTAAATGACACATTTTTTTCTGGACATATTGGAGTACATTGTCATGTCAGGTTCACTGAAACAGTGACATGTATAACAAAGTTCATAATAAACAATGTAATTGACCACAATATTTAGACAGTGTTCTTTGCCAAGTTCTGTGTAAAGTGTGGTCTGTTTACATAGTTGATGAAACTGATACCACAGTCCCCAGCTGTGTATGACTGCAATCTAATGACTTATGATTACAAGCAAGCCACTGCTCCACCTACGTAGTGAACATGTCCTGTAAGCAACACCAATCTTGATGAACATCATTGCTGACCTGACCCATCTCATTTGAATATGACCTATTGGTATCTCTTGCTTTTTATTTCATGTCAAGCAGTTGAAGTTAAGTTTGTGAAGATGGCAAATGATATTATTCAATCAAACGGCTATCTCCCCATACTGTATCAAGCCTACAGTCTTGGGGTTATAGTTTGATTTTGTACACTTAATATCTGAAGATGTCTCTCGCTACACAAAGGCTTTACTAGACGGCACATCGAAATTGTCTGTTCGCATATCAGTATGATCAGCTGATTTTGACATTTGTCAACATCGACCACCCAAGTAACTGTGTCTGATTTAACTTTTTTCGTCTATTTTCTTTCTGACAATTATAATTCTAAGCAACTGTGCAATCTTCTGTCAAATGTCTGTGTTTATGGTCTGTATTTATGGTCAAAACTATCAAGAAATCGCCATTAGGATTATTCTGACCACCAATTTGTTCTCTAGCCCATCGAAACCAAACAATATTAGCCTTTTTTATTTTAGCCTTGAGATTAAACAGTAATTTGATTGGCTGTCATTTTCTGTTTTTCTTACAGGAATTAAATTGTATGTAAGTTAGTGATGAACAGGAATGTTATTGGTTAACAGATATATAGCAAAGATTGGCAATCTGTAGTGTACATAGACAGGATGCAAACATGAACATCATATGCAATGAATTACTTTATGTAAATTTGTTTTGATCTTGTATAATTTTGAAGCAAGTGATATTTATTTCTGCTTATATACCAGTGCAGGCTTGTTAAAGGGAAGTCACTCGCTAATGATACAAATTGAAAGACCAGGGCCTAGATTTTCGAAACGATCTTAGCTAAGATAAATCTTAACAACTTACGTTCAAAGATAAGATATCTTAAGGTTAAGATAAGATAGATTTTCGAAACTATCGTAAACCTGTCGCAGATCGTTCAGAGTTACGATACCTGTCGTAACTCTGACAGAGAACTCATTTGTGTTAGAGATTGAAAAAGCGGGGTGTTTCCCAGTGACGTCACGGGGATTTCCCAGCTGCATATGCGTTCAGCATTTAACATGCCTGTTCAAGTCTGATGTTAAGTGATGTATACTGTATATTTTTATGTTTATGTCAAAAGTCAAGTTTATATTAGTGTTAACACCAACATTATACGTGGAAACACTCAAAACAAAAATTGTTCAGGAAGCAGCGCACCCACAAGCAAGTTTATATGACAATCTAAGCTTGTTAAGTTTGTTTTGTTACTTATGTATCCAATATATTTCGTGAATAAACCAAGGACTTAAATACAATATCAAGCTATTAGTATTTAGATGATGAAATTATTTTTTTATCTATCTAGATCCATAATTATTTTCAAAATTTAAAAGTGACACTAATTTTCGTTCGCAAAGAGAGATAATTTAGGAATTGTCAAGTTATGTTGTCTCATGGAACACGCCACAAGTTAACGTGAACATACATATAATGTAGTCATTTTCTATCCTTTTAATTAAGTAGAGCTATTAAACTGATTCGTCTGATTTCATTTAAATCTGGCTGAGGAGCGAAATACTTTGTAATGTGTCAAATCTTTGGCTTGTCTGACAGAATTGCTGAGGATCATTTACTAGTATTTGTTCGTTGACCCTATACGTTACAACGATTTTATTGTCTGAATGGTCTCAAGGATATCTATATTTTTATGAAACATAAAACGGGAAGATGTAGACTTAAATATTAAAAAGACCAAAATATTTTAAACCCGGTTTATTGAATGCAAAGATTATTGTGTTGGAAATGTGTATTTTATGTTGATCAGTAAATTTCATTCAATAAACTTTTTTTCTGCGAACATATATTTGAAAGTGAATTTTGGACAATGTGCAAACTATGCTACATTTTGACGAGAACCAGAACGAGCATTGGAATTCATTTTTTATTTGATTTGTCGATACAAAAATCTGTGCTTAACTTTTGCTGTCAAAATTTCAGTAAATTGTTATATTTATAAGGGAATACATCTATATGCCGTTAATCACCTGTTTTTAAAGAATGCAATTGTTCAACAGACAGTTTTTAATAACTTTTTATCACATATTTGTCTTTCAAGAGGATATAGATAACATAGGTATTGAATTTAAAACGAAACAAATTGCAATTACTCTTGCAAGAAAAATATTAGATATTGTATACAAATATTTGATCACATGTATTTCCTTGTTAAGTCAATAAATACTACACTGTATAGTTAAAATTCAGTTATTAAAACCACCCGTCCCACACGATTTTAGATGTAAAAACTTATGCGAAACCTTTATGGTTGTTTTTACATATGTAGATTGATATAATTTTATAAAATGCGAAAATATAGACTGAAGCATTGACACAAATGCGACTCAGAAAATCTAACAGTGGAACTCTGCACTTTATGAAAACTGTACCATTGAGCAAGGTGTCCCGGGCGAATACAAAGGGAAACCACTCTCAACTAGAGTTTGAACTAAGATTAGCTCCCCCTAAACTATCAATAAGGTCACGGTCATTACTGTAGCCTGCCGACACCTTCCGTTTTTATCCTTCCCAAATTATCGAAAAGGTATGTTGTTTCACACTTCTTCAGCATGGACTCGGATAGAAAAATAATGTAAGCTGTCGACTCCACAGTTACGTGTATCGCTGTCGCGATTAAGAACATTTTTGACGTGAAATCCTTGATGCGTTCTCCGTGTTTTCGAAGTGTCAATTTGAATCACTCAGTTTTACAAAATGAAATGTCAATGTTTGAACGTAAAGCGGACTAATTGTTTGGCAAAATATCTATGGAAAAGTATGCAGCCATCTTGGATGAAGATAAAATAAACTTACGACAGGTATAGGGCTATCTTAGATTTACGACAAACTTAAGATATCTTAGGGCTACGATAGTTTCGAAAATAGGCTCCGATAGCCTACGATTTCCTTACGATAACTTTACGATAATCTTAGGGCAGCCTATTCACGAAGCTGTCTTAGCGCTAAGATTGGCGTAAATATGTCGTAGCGAAAAACGTCTTAGTTAAGTCTATTCTCGAAGCTGTCTTAGCGCTAAGCTATCTTAAGTTTAAGACAAAAATTAAGACAGGGTCTGACCTGTCGTAAACCTGTCTTAGGCATGCATCATGGCGTCCTACCTATTGCTCGGGCTTCTCGATAGAGAAAAGCAATCAACCCTAACACCTTCTAGGAAGAAAATATTCCGTGACAGGACGAGTCAGCTGGACACGCTAGATGACGTGCAGCTTATATCCAGATATAGGCTAAATCGGCATGCCATCATGCAAATTATTGCGAGTGTGGGGTCCTACCTCGAACGACCGACCAAGCGTTCGGTACCTCTATTACCCGAAATGCATGTTTTGGTAACTCTACGATACTTGGCAAAAGGTGGTTTTCAGTCTGAAATCGGGGACCTGCACGGTGTCAGTCAACCTAGTGTATCGAGGGTGATACACAAAACCATAAATCTACTGTGTAAACATCTGAATTTGATACACTTTCCAAACGATGCCACAACCCGTCAAAACACAAAAGAAAGATTTTATGACATAGCTGGGTTCCCCAATGTAATAGGATGCATCGATGGCACGCTGATCGCCATTATTAGACCACCGCATGACGAGGAGGTCGCTTACGTGTGCCGTAAGGGTTACCATGCCATCAATATTCAAGCAATATGTGATGCTGATCTCCGGTAATTGTACACGGTTTTATAATAGCAATGAAATTGTATATTGAATGAGAAAGATACATACTGCCAATTCAGGCATCGCCACGATCACATTAAATGTACCGCCTCGCATAGTTGACCTTGACCATGACCCATTGCGCCCTCCTGTCAATAAACCCAGCCAATGACATCGAAGGGGCACAATAAAGGTTTAAGGAAGGGGTTCCTATAAGGTTAATTAATTATAATATTAACAGTCTGTGATGATCATACACACATTGTTCTGTCAATAGAATGAAATGTGAAAGAAATATGTTTTTGAAATGAAATAAGTATCAAATCCATGACTTAAATGTAAAAGTAATCAATGTCAATGTCAGTAAATGTACACAAATTAATTAATTGCTCCCTGAAATTATTGGTGACAATTTAAAATTATTACTTAAAGTAGTATAAAATTATTGGATTTCTTTTCAATTTAACTTACCATGTGTGATTGCGGGATTAAACATATCAACATTTGTTTAAAAATTAATTTAAGTGAATATTTGAAAAGATGGAAGGAATGAAAATGATATGTTTGTTTGGTTTATTTGGAAAAAAAGAAAACAACAATTGTATGGTTTGAAGCAGTAACACCACCATCTCTCCCAATATAACACTTAGAAAATGGTTGACCCATTCTAAGAAATCATTAATAGAGATAATGAAAATATATTTCCACTATTTCAGTTTCACCAACATTGTCTGTAGATGGCCAGGGGCAACTCATGATGCATTCATGCTGTCCAACAGTACAATTGGTACCAAATTAGAGCAGAATCCTGTGGATGGATGGTTGCTTGGTGACTCTGGGTATAAGAACATTCTCATGTGAAAAATAACATCAACATAGTAGTTTTGATTGTAATTTGTAAGTTTATTTTTGCAGAATACCTTTTAATATAGGAATATGTCACAGTTTGGAAATGCTCAGATAAATTGACAGTTTTCAAATAAATTAATTAATAATGATGACATTAATGTTGCAGTGAAGGAAAATAAAAACCCATCGATCACAGTCACATATTCTGCAAACACTTCTAACCAACATTTATGTATACTTTACTAAATAGGTATGCCTGTCGACCATGGCTCCTCACGCCTCTTTCAAACCCACAAACACCACCAGAGGAAAAATATAACCGTGCCCACTGTAGAACCAGAAACACCGTTGAGAGGGCTTTCGGGGTGTTGAAGTCTAGATTCCGGTATGTATAGCAATAATTACTTAGGCCAAAACAATGTAGATTTTGAAGTTTTTATTTTAAAAAACATAAAATTATTTCTTTTAAATGTATAACATTATTCATGTTTTATGGAGTCTATAAGTAAGAAAAAATCCATACATGATTGATATATGAACTGAATTGCCACAAGATAACTTTTGCAATCTCTTGCTGTGGATATATAAGATATGAAAATGTTTATAAATGTTACAACAAGATAACATCTTCATATATTTGAGCATAAGTTTATTCAAATATTATTCCAACAAAATTTTATTGTACTATTGTGACTTACAGTTGTCTGGGGAAAACTACAGGGTGTTTGATGTTTACCAGCAAGAGATGCCACCAAGTAGTGTATGCTGCAGCCCAGCTGCACAATATGTGCCTTGACATGAACATACCACTGCCACCTTCCCAGGCTGATGAAGTTGCCAGTGATGACACAGTATATCATGGACCTATTTGTGATGGGTTTCAAACTAGGCGTGGTGTAATCCGCCAATTGTTCTCAAGACAGTGAACAATACTGAACATGTTAAAAAAAAATAATTCTGACATGAACTGAAATGTTTCTTCTAGATAGTGAGTGAGTGTGTGTGTATTTATGCCGCTTTTCGCAATGTTCCAGCAAGATCACAGCGGGGGACACCAGCAATGGGCTTCACACTTTGAACCCATGTGGGGATTCGAACCCGGGTGTTTGGCGTGATGAGCAAACTCTTTAACCACAATGCTACCCCACTGGCCCTCTCCTGAAATAGACTTAGCAGAGACAAATATTACATATATATTTAAATAGTACAACAAAGCGGAAATATTAATTAATGATGAAATGATATAAGAGGAGACAGGCACTGAACATTTTTTTCTGCTTGTTTCAGCAACAATTTTTCTTCATTTATTTTTAAATTTCTTTCATTTATAGCAAGATTTCTTTCCTCAATATTGAGACGCTGCAATTCTACTGTCAGCAACTGCTGCAGGATCTACACTTTCTTCCAAAGCCATCAATTTGTCACCTGTGGTTGGAATTTGTCCTGAAAATATGAGTAGTATATTTCAGTACATCAAATCAAATTGAAACATGAATAAAGGTAATGAATGCTTTTTTCAATAATCAAAGTACACAATATGTATATGTGAAAGATTTTGGAGATTATTTTTTTTTTCTCACCTTATAACATTTTTTATAATATTAAGTGAACTGACAAAAGTGACATTTATATGAGAAGTTGTGAGAGGAGTTGAAAATCTTTTAGACAACAAATCGACATTTTTTATTTACTTAGTATTTTTTCACTGGTCTTACATGTTATAAATCTTTGTGTGAATGGTCAGACCTGTGATATAGTTGAATTATCATGACAAGTTGTGTCAGATCAATCATATTTTAATACCTTCCACAGCTAGTACAGTCTGAACAACTGCTGCTTTCTGTTGTGACTCCAGCTGTGGTGGTGATGGTTGTATAACAAACACTGACTGCTCGTCAGGCAGACAGGCATTTGTCAAGTCTTCAGGAACAACTGAAAGAAAATTAATAATCAGAATGTATAAGTTTTCATGCAACTGACATATTTATGTGTGACATTGACTACATGGAGTACATGTTACAATTGTTTCAAGACATAATGTCGAATTATTTGTAAGTGAAATCTTTATCACTGGTCATTTATAATTAAAAAAGAATTAATGTTGATATTTTTTTCTGTGTTATGAATTCAAATATCTTTAACTTACATTCATTGACATCACTCTCCAATCCACCCTCACAACCATCAATTTGACAGGAGGGAATCAGTGATACAATCTGTAAATAAATTTTAATGAAGATTGTAAATTTCAAAGATTTGTAACACATAACAATGAAAGATTAAAAATGTTTTATGTAGTAACCCTGTTCATGATAGATGCGAATAAATGTATCAAATGTGAAAACAATTCATACAAGTGATTACAATATATGCTGTGAATGTGTCATTTAGCATGGCTTATTACATAGAAGTTATAGTAATCTTTGATATGCCAATGTAATCATATTTACCCGCTCTTCAACTTCATTAAGTGGTTGAGGTGGTGGTCCTCCTCCTGTTGCACAAATCTCTCTTTTTAGTGAGGCAGCCTTCCTTCTTGCTTGGCTTCTGAATACCAGATTATATCACAGTTTGAATTTGCAAGAAAGGAAATTGGATTAGTCTCAATGTTTAATAAAAGTTTTTCATCATCTCTTGATACTCTTAGTATTTTATATGTTTTCATATAGTAAGCAAATTTGTCTAAACATAGGCAATTCAAAATTAGTTATTGACAGGTTCATAACAGCCAGAAATATGTCAGGTTTTTTTTTTACATTAATTGATGGTGCTAAAAAAAATCTTGAATATTTATATATATTATGTTAACAGTACTGGGTTCATTTTGTTTTATCAGATATGGCTAATGCATTTACTTAATGTCAGTCCATTTCTTCTTGATCTCCTTCTCATCGCGTTTGACCAAGCTGTTGGCACAGATTCTATTAAAAAAATCACATAATGTCACCAAATAAGATCAAAACTTTGTTTCAATACTTAATTACTACACATTGTACAAATTGAATCCTATGTACTATATATACATAATGTATGACGTTATATATTGGATAATTATTACTTGCATAAAAAAAATATTTACACAATTTTTATCATAAGGCAGAGAGAGATGAATTACTTGACAAAATGTTTGTACATTTCTTTTCTATTTCTCAGCTCATGTTAGCATGGCTTATGTAAATCCTAAACAAATTATTACAAAAAATACGATAAGGCATAATGTTTGGCTCGATAATGATACGTGTCCCCGAAATGCATCTAGATGTAACAATGTAAACACCCGACTCATGGGAGGAATCAGGTTTTCCCCCGACTATAAATAGTCACTGTAGTCTGACAAATAACAAGGAAAAAAGATCGTGCATGGACCTATACTGAGTTTGAGATTTACTCTACATGCGATCACATATATATGACACACTAAACAGTGGTAGCTTAAGTATTCTTGGTTTAACGCACAGTGAGTTAGGGTTGCTAAGTAGTTACTTACTTCTGAGCGATGTCGGTCCATATCTTCTTCTTTTGCACATTTGTCACGGTGTTGCAAAACGCCGAAAATAAAATGTGATGATTTTTCTCCACTTCTTGAATTAATATGTCCACTTCAATAGGCATCCAGTTTACTTTCCTGATGCGTTTATTTTTCGGAGATGAGTCCATGGCGCACAGATGACAGGTATCGTCTGCCCGTCAATGTAGGTCAAGGGAATTCCCTAATGACGTCACGGGAAAACACCCGACTCTTTCTCCGACAGAAAAGAGCTCCCTGTCTTAGCCGCGACAGCTGTCGTAGCTGGGACACGGCTACGATAGGTTTAAGACAGCTTCAAGAATAGCTCTTATGGCAGTCGTAATTTTTATCGTAAGTAGCTAAGATTTGTCTTAGCTAAGACAGCTTCGTGAATAGGCCGCCAGGGATTTTACAGAAGTTTTTTACTTGGACAGTCTTTTCCTTGCCACTGTAAAGCTACTTGAACTTCACTTTGTACAAAGGTTTGGTGAAATAGACACATTGATTCCTGAGTGTTTGATTTCTATGACCCATTGCTCGATCCATTTGAGTAAATAAGTCAGATTTTTAGAGTTGTGACATTTCAATTTACATAGCTTGTTTTCAGAGATGAAAATCAAAAATTGAAAATCTTCTGTACAACTAAAATTGGAAGAGACATGTGCCTTGATAAGAACTTTGCCGCATTGGCATGTTGTAGGAAAGGTGAGCATCAAGAGGTTTTGCTGTTTTTAACTGAAGCAAAGGTTCAAGTGAGCTTATGTCATGTGACTTTTCCCTGAATTCAATTTTGAACATGGCTGCCAAGGCAGCTATTTGGAAAATGTTATCATTTGTGTGTCCATCCATTCACCCTTCACCGTTTTCATTTTCACATCTCTAAACAAATCAGTCATGATCTCTGCTACGGTGTCTTTTGACGTGCTCCTAACATAGGGTTCCATTTTAGACATAGCCACCACGGCAGCTGTTTTGAAAATGTCAATTCTTGCACATGATACAGCCATGTTTCGTTATGAAATATGATGTACAACAAGAATGTGTTTTTTTAAATAACATATTATTTGTTTTATTTTTATATTTGGCATATTTTGATTATTTACAACCTATAAACCTTTACATGTTGCTTAATTTGTTACACCTTCTTTGTGATCATGATGATCTTATTGTTAAAAATATTTCAAAATTCAAATTCCACAAAAAGTTCAAATATTTTATCCCCAAGAACAAGACATGTGTACATTACTCTATGTGTAATGGCTTCAGAAGATCCACAGCAACATGGAAAGCATAACTTTGATGGAAGCAGACTTTCTTGCAGGATCCATTTTTCTTTTGCTCTCATAATTTGTTGAACCAGTGTTTCTATAACTCAGCAGTAATGCTCCATAATAAGGTGGAAGTGTTATGAAGCCCAGAAAACAAATAATATTGATTTTATCAAATATTTCTTGTTGCTGATTAAGAAATATTGTTGAAATGTATTTAGCTTTTTCATATTTATTAATTATTCCTCAGTATTTTAGCAGAATACATAACATTTATTGTGTATTGTTATTAGAAAAACACAAGTAGACTTGTTCAAGTATCTCATAATTTGAATCTTGTCCAATGAGGAGTTGCTATCTCACTACTATCCCATGTTATTATCTTCTCCCTGACTCTTCAACAATACTGTAGAACTTGAGTGAGACTGAATATAAGGCTACATGAGCTAGATATGATTTGTATTTTGGGATGAACAATTCTGCAGATTGAAATCCTATCATGTGAAATGCCCTTTGTTAAAGGTAGTGTTTGAGAATACCTCCAGAGTACTGTCCCATTCAGAGCCAGAAGTACCACACGGTGTGGATGAGACACACATGTGTGTTGTACAACCTACTTCAAATTATGATGTCAATGACAATAATCAATTCTCTTCAGTTTCCAACCCAAAATCAATAAACAAAATTTTGATCAATTTTTTTCCAATTATGTTGTTTCCTTCCTTTTGAACTTGTAGGGGATAATAATATTGAGCTTAACTACTCTTGTGTATTTGTATTTACAAGAAGGGTACCAAGAAGAATGCTGTCAATGTGTGTTTCTTGGTTGGTTGATTTGTTGTTTTACGCCACACTCAGCAATATTCCAGCTATATGACGGCAGTCTGGAAATAATCGAGTCTGGACCAGACAATCCAGTGATTGATATCATGAGCATCGATCCACACATTTGGGATTGATGACATGCTGCAAATAAGTCAGCGAGCCTTACCACCCATTCTCCTATATATCACCTTCCAATACAACAAATAACAGAACACTTTCTGGATTGCTATGCAGTGCACCACAACTCACCGTTTAATTCAACATTAATATCACATTTACATATATCTCAGTCATTTGACATCCATGATATACACAATATCTAACATATGACATTGAATAAATTGACAATATACAAATACTGACGACTAGTCTTGATTAACGCGACGAGCTTCAAATATACGTGGCAACGAGCCCTACAAAAGGCAACAAGCCGTGATAATAAAATATGAGCAACGAGCTACTGTTTACATGCGACAGGCATCAGTTTCTCAGCGCGACAAGCCTCCATGTTTGCGACATTCTCAGGGCGACAAGCCTCCATCTTTTGCGACATACCTCGTCGTGGGCGACAGGCCATCATGGTTAACACCGTTAACCGCACATACTGCAACTTAGAAACAATCATTAATAAAAGTAAAGTTTTCAGTGGCGCACTGCAAGCGAGAATGACCACTCTATACATGCTTAACCTTATATAGCCCCTTATAAGCGCCCCCTACTATTACACAACACCATGTTGTATTTAACTACGGTAGGAGAAAGCAATTTCTTTCTTATTCGTACCTCAAACGAAAGAAATAATATTTCTCCTATATATCACCTTCCAATACAACAAATAACAGAACACTTTCTGGATTGCTATGCAGTGCACCACAACTCGAGATTCAAAGAACGGGCTGATAATATAAAATACTATAGTCCTAACGACATTGATACTGACAAACGATGTTCTACTGAATCCTTTACATATCCATCTTTTGCGTTCTCACTTTTCCATCTACCATGCCTCTTAAACATCCTGTCCGGGACACCATTGTTAGCTGCAGCTGTTGCACCGCCTGCACGCAAACTATGCAAACCATACTTTGATATATCTCTGACAAAGGGGGCAAAAGCTTCAATAAACTCTTCCCTCAATCGAGTATATGACATACTTGAATTTTGTTTTCTTAAAACGTAAGATGTCTTACACTTTGATAAGTTTCTGAAAAGATACTCTTGTGACTCATTTTCAATACAAGCCGCTTCAACATATGTTTCTAACCAAGAAACCGGGCATAGCTTCCCTCTTGTTCTGCTTATTAATAACCAGGCACCATCTCGATACATATCAGTTTTCGATTTCTCAATAAACACTGTCATATAAGATTCGTAAAAAATAATATCACATCTCTTCAAATTGAGAAGCTCAGCAGATCTCAAAAAGCCGGCATAAGCAACTAAACTCATAGCAACAATGCGAATATCCTTCAAGCAATCGCTGTGTTGCTTAACATCAACCAATTTCTCTAAAATATCTACAGTAATTGGCTCTTTTTTACATTTGGGTTTCGAAAGCTTTCTCTTAGCAGCCTCAAGAACATTTCGAACAAGAGAATTATCTGTCGGACTTGGCAGTCCCAACAAATTATGCACATGGCCGCCGCATGGCGTATGCTATAAAACGCAGTCTGAACTGATGAAAACGAATCATTACGCTGCATTACAGCAACAAGATAAATAGCACAATGCAAAGGCTGAACAGGAACGTCTACACATATGCTGTTTGAATTAGCCCACCTTTGCCACGCTTTAAATCCGCAATGGTATTTCCTGCTAGTAGAATCAGCTCGAGCACAATTCAACAAGTCCGGAATCTGGTCAGCTAAATCCCTGGCAGTTCCAGGCAACATCTCCAACTCAGAAACATAAGCACGAGTAAACACATCTGTAAACATAAACATCAAAATTGCATTTTCAACGCCAACATGTTAAAATGCAAATGCTCAATACCAAATATTCCCCCTTGACATCTACCTGGCACGTAAGCCTCTCTTTCTCTAGGTAGATAACAGAAATCCAACACTTGTGGTATGAAGATACCGTTAGGACACAATAATGGCCAGTAATTTGCAGAATACCACGCCGGAACTATCAAAGTACCTTTCGCTTTTGACCATTTCATGTGTTTCAACACTCTACTCACGAGGTACACAGGGGGAACAACCCAGTTATTTACACTATCCCAACTCTGTGTGAACGCATCGATGTATTCACACCCAGGATTCCAAAACCTTGAACAGAATCTGACAACTTTACAGTTGTAATGCGTGGCAAATCTATCGATGTCACATTTACCCCATTTTCGTTCGAGCTCATTGAAAATGTGGGTAGCTATACCCCAATCATCATAATCTACAATCCTACTGATATAATCTGGCTTCTGATTCTCTGATCTGGGTATCCATTGAATCTCCAGATGAATAGCATGTGACACACATAAATCAAATATCTCTAAAGCAATCTTCTGCAAATCTGCTTTCATACTTCCTTTGGACACTATGGATTGCACATTGCTGTTATCGGTAAACCATTTTACCCTCTGGGATGTTAGAAATCTGGATAAAGCATGTAATACACACTTAACCGCTGTTAATTCTCTCCAAGTAGAACTTTGTTCTGCCTCGTCACGTGACCATTGACCTTGAGCCCTCTGGCTTCCATATTGAACACAGTAACCACCATATCCCGAAGCACTTGCATCGCTATATACAACACGAGTCACACCTTGTGTTTCTGATAAAATACATTGTGAATGCTTATGAATGTTACTTTTCCAAAACTCTAACTGGCGCAAACTTCATTCAATCTGATACTTTCGTTCCACGATGATACATCTAATGTTTGCAAACTCATAGACCGAGTCATCAATTGACACACTGAGCCTGTAACCATTTTCATAGAAATAATTTGACCAATCACTGATGCAATATCTCTCACAGAAACCTTGCTTCGAACGCCTATGTCTAACAAACGATCTATCATTTTCAGAACTTTTTCCAATCTTCTGGCTGGAACTGTCAAAGACATACTTTTAGTTTCAATGATAAGACCCAACCACTCAATGCATTGTTGAGGCTCCCACAAAGATTTTTCTACTTTCGGAACAAATCCTGATTTGATTAAATCATTCTTTATAGAACCACTTGTAGACATTGCACAATCTTTCGTTTTATCAGACACAATGCCATCATCCAAAAATGTTACAACCTTATGACCTTGAAACCGCCAGTATTTAGCCAATTGCCTTGTAACTTTCGTGAAAACATACGGGTCGGTTGTTAAGCCAAAGGGCAAAACTAGAAATTTGTAGAATATGGGATTCTGACCTTCTCCCCATGCAAATCCTAAAAAGTCAGTATGTGCAGGATAAATGTCTATATGATGATAGGCAGAATGAATGTCAAATTTTGATAACCAATCTCCTTTTTCAATATACATCAAAGCTGATCTCCAATCTTCATACTTCACTGAAGTTTTCCAAATATGTTTATTTATAATTGATAAATCTAGAATAAGTCTTTTCCTCCCTGACGATTGTGTAGCGACTGATAGAGGGCTCACTATATGAGGTTTTACGTCACAAACATCTACGAGACCTTTATGTACTAAATCTTGAATGGCCGAATCAACAAATTTACTGTTTTTAATAGCAGATCTGTTATTTCTCTTATCCATCATTGGAGGAGTCGAGTAAAACAGAATCTTGTACCCGTTTTCAATAATGTCTAACACAAAATCTGTTGCTCCGATATACTTCCAAAAAGAAACATTTTCTTTAAGTCTATTCTTCACGCAGATCTCAGCCTGACCCTGCTCATACTCACAATAATCGGTTGTAATTCTAAATGTATCATTATTGAGTGAAGAAGATTCAAAACTACACTTAACTTTTGTCCCGGCTTCTTCGTGACGGACTTCACCTCGTTGATTGTTTGTCTGAGTTGAGCTTGGGCTGGGTCTGTCCGTTGGCGAGTGGACAATTTCGTCTCCAATGCGAGAAGTCACCGCAGTGAGAGCAGGCCCCTGTTGACCTCTGACCTCCACGGGCACAAAAAAGCTGAGAACCACCAACAGCAGACTGACCTTGCGTGCTGTCGTTGACCGCTGTTGACGCTGGAATGGGCCGTGGTCCATACCTATAAGGAAGCGCACGTGCATTACGTGCGTTTTTGGCCTTGATTTTCTTGATGGCCTTGTTCTCGGCCCTCGTGATGCGACGGTCATCATCGGAGTCATCAGCCAATTCACGGGACACGTAGTTTCTCACGGTCTCCCAGCCTCCCTCGGACGAATCTGCAATTTTTATGTGTTTGTTTCTGTTCTCGATCCTAGCTATCTCATTCTTGACTAACTCAGTTACGTAATCACTCTTACCGTACTGAATTCCAAATTCAATTTGTTTAAATGTCTCTAAAGTCTCTTCATTAAAAGAATATTGAATGCGATTACCCTCGCGTGACCATACGTAATCTTTCTCTGCTTTCAGTTTCTGTAACTCCTTGTTTGTCTTTGAGAATTCTTCTCTTAAACCAGCAACTCTAAGATCTAATCGTTCATCTATACTTTTCGCTATCTCTTCTTTAGATGAATTCAACTGTTTCAAAATGGCGTCTAACTTGTCGTTGATAGGTGTTTGGGCTTCCATAACAAAAGTAAAGTTTTCAGTGGTGCACTGCAAGCGAGAATGACCACTCTATGCATGCTTAACCTTATATAGCCCCTTATAAGCGCCCCCTACTATTACACAACACCATGTTGTATTTTCCTACGGTAGGAGAAAGTAATTTCTTTCTTATTCGTACCTCAAACGAAAGAAATAATATATCCCGTTAGTCGCCTCTTACGACAAGCATAGTCACCTTTTATGGCAAGCTTGGGTTGCTGAAGACCTATTTTGTTATTGTTAATGATTGATCATTTTTCAAACCAATGATAAATCTTAAAATGTCCACTAATTACCCAAACTATACCCGGCAGACCACAGCAAGAACTGCCTCCCATGGCTGTCTCTTGGCTGACCACACGCTGTCCCGCCTGACCAGCATGTTGACCAGTAAGAGTGGGAGAAGTGCTGTTGTTATCGGGGTGGACATTCTGACCCCTGTCCAGCTCAACTTCCTGCAGACATTATGGGGACTCCTTTTTCAATATACATCAAGCTGATCTCCAATCTTCATACTTCACTGAAGTTTTCCAAATATGTTTATTTATAATTGATAAATCTAGAATAAGTCTTTTCCTCCCTGACGATTGTGTAGCGACTGATAGAGGGCTCACTATATGAGGTTTTACGTCACAAACATCTACGAGACCTTTATGTACTAAATCTTGAATGACCGAATCAACAAATTTACTGTTTTTAATAGCAGATCTGTTATTTCTCTTATCCATCATTGGAGGAGTCGAGTAAAACAGAATCTTGTACCCGTTTTCAATAATGTCTAACACAAAATCTGTTGCTCCAATATACTTCCAAAAAGAAACATTTTCTTTAAGTCTATTCTTCACGCAGATCTCAGCCTGACCCTGCTCATACTCATAATAATCGGTTGTAATTCTAAATGTATCATTATTGAGTGAAGAAGATTCAAAACTACACTTAACTTTTGTCCCGGCTTCTTCGTGACGGACTTCACCTCGTTGATTGTTTGTCTGAGTTGAGCTTGGGCTGGGTCTGTCCGTTGGCGAGTGGACAATTTCGTCTCCAATGCGAGAAGTCACCGCAGTGAGAGCAGGCCCCTGTTGACCTCTGACCTCCACGGGCACAAAAAAGCTGAGAACCACCAACAGCAGACTGACCGTGCGTGCTGTCGTTGACCGCTGTTGACGCTGGAATGGGCCGTGGTCCATACCTATAAGGAAGCGCACGTGCATTACGTGCGTTTTTGGCCTTGATTTTCTTGATGGCCTTGTTCTCGGCCCTCGTGATGCGACGGTCATCATCGGAGTCATCAGCCAATTCACGGGACACGTAGTTTCTCACGGTCTCCCAGCCTCCCTCGGACGAATCTGCAATTTTTATGTGTTTGTTTCTGTTCTCGATCCTAGCTATCTCATTCTTGACTAACTCAGTTACGTAATCACTCTTACCGTACTGAATTCCAAATTCAATTTGTTTAAATGTCTCTAAAGTCTCTTCATTAAAAGAATATTGAATGCGATTACCCTCGCGTGACCATACGTAATCTTTCTCTGCTTTCAGTTTCTGTAACTCCTTGTTTGTCTTTGAGAATTCTTCTCTTAAACCAGCAACTCTAAGATCTAATCGTTCATCTATACTTTTCGCTATCTCTTCTTTAGATGAATTCAACTGTTTCAAAATGGCGTCTAACTTGTCGTTGATAGGTGTTTGGGCTTCCATAGCAAAAGTAAAGTTTTCAGTGGTGCACTGCAAGCGAGAATGACCACTCTATGCATGCTTAACCTTATATAGCCCCTTATAAGCGCCCCCTACTATTACACAACACCATGTTGTATTTTCCTACGGTAGGAGAAAGTAATTTCTTTCTTATTCGTACCTCAAACGAAAGAAATAATATATCCCGTTAGTCGCCTCTTACGACAAGCATAGTCACCTTTTATGGCAAGCTTGGGTTGCTGAAGACCTATTTTGTTATTGTTAATGATTGATCATTTTTCAAACCAATGATAAATCTTAAAATGTCCACTAATTACCCAAACTATACCCGGCAGACCACAGCAAGAACTGCCTCCCATGGCTGTCTCTTGGCTGACCACACGCTGTCCCGCCTGACCAGCATGTTGACCAGTAAGAGTGGGAGAAGTGCTGTTGTTATCGGGGTGGACATTCTGACCCCTGTCCAGCTCAACTTCCTGCAGACATTATGGGGACTCCCGGTATTTGACAGGTACCAGCACTGATGCATGGCCCCTTGTCAGGTGTGCTACTGCTACATTCACTATCACATACCTCCATGTGACCTTAACAATGTCATGCTACATTGTCTGTGCATCTGTCCCTTCATCCATCTGTTGTAAAAGAGAGGAGCCTGCAACTTTTTATTGTCAGTAATAGAGTGTGTAATTCAGTGTACATGATGCCTGTAGTGTAGATAGTTACCATGCCCTGGAAGTAGTATAGGTAATGATGGTTCTGGCTCACTTCCACTGGAGCCAGATTCATATACCTATACTGCTACTACAGAGAGAATTTTTTATGCGTAAATGATGATGTGATTTAATGATAGTCATGAGATTAAGTTAAATTGACTCCAGCTCACCACCACCTGGAGTCAATGATATAAATTTTTATAGGTAATGATGGTTCTGGCTCACTTCCACTGGAGCCGGATTCATATACCTATACTGCTACTACAGGTGGCATTTTTTATGCCAAAATGATTATGCGATTTAACGATAGTCATGAGTTGTATTAAACGAAACATCAATATTAATTAATAATGGATAAAATTTACTATAGCCCACGAGGATATTGGAAAGGTGTAGGAGCAATAAAAAAATTAGCCACCGCGGCTAAGGTATCTAAAGATGTGGCCAAGGATTGGTTAAAGAAACAAGCGTTGTGGCAAATATACTTACCGGCACCGCGTTATATACCGAGGAAGAAGTTTGATATTTTTACGACGAATGAAGTTCATCAGGCTGACCTCTTGTTTCTTCCCCACGATAAGGTAAAACGCAAAACGTATAAATACGCTTTAACCGTCGTGGATGTGGCTAGTCGATACAAAGAGGCTGAGCCATTAACCTCGAAAGATTCAACAGAAGTAGCTAATGCACTGAGCCGCATATATAAACGCGGACCACTAAAAGGGTCTAAGCTATTTCAAGTAGATCCCGGTCGCGAATTTATGGGATCGGTAACTAAACTGTTAACAAAGCACGATGTCGAAATCGTCCGTGGTGAAAGAGAGGCCCACCGCAGTCAAGCTATTGTCGAAAGATTTAACAGGACAATAGCAGAACGTTTGTTTGGCTATCAGTATGGGATCGAAATGAAATCCGAGCGATTGAGATCAACCGAATGGGTGACACGATTATCAGCCGTTGTATCAGCGCTGAATAATGAAGTAACGAGATTAATAGGGAAGAAACCATCCGATGCTATTAAAATGAAATCTGTGACTTGCGAATCTTCAGCACCGAGGAGAGGCAAAGAACAAAAACTTCCGGATAGAGTAAGGGTAAGATATTTATACCAGGCAGGTGAACTTGAAGGAGGCCTACGTCGCGCAACCGATCCCATATGGTCCCTTAAGACATATAACATTAGTCGATTGGTTATGAAAGAAGGAGAGCCTATTCTTTATTATCTTCAAGATGGACCGGGCAGGGCATTTGTACGAGAAGAGTTGTTCATAGTTCCCGACGGTACGGTATTACCACCATAACCATAAGCATAGGTAGTTACACCATCATTATCAATCCATCTCTTTGTATCTAAGGGGGATAATGATGTCTTGTTCATTCTTAATCCATATATCCTATGATCGTAACTTCTTAAAGAGTTCATCTCGTGTTTGAACGATCTACCGTTGAATAATGATTCTTTATACTGTTCGTGTTTGATATGCTTTTTTACCACATACTTCTTAACGCCTTTAGCTTTTCTTATCTCTCCATTATCGGACTTCTTTATAGAATACATCTTAGGTCTTAATCCGACATACTCCGCTATAGGGGTCCCAGCACATTCATCCTTCATCTTACCTAATACCTTTTTATTTACTACACTGTGCAGTGGATTATCTTTTGGGTAATCGCTTGTGTCGTACATATCTATTTTTTCTGCCATATCTTTATACACATCCTCAGTTTGTATTTCCATCAACAAAGAATCTGTGTCGGTATATAACACCTCGCATCTATCACCGTATTGCTTCTTAAGTTTGTTGTAATAAAAGTCATACATTAAGTGTTTTGACAAGTCAAGAATACTCATACCAACGTACACCGGTCTGTTGAATTTTATATTACTCTTCTGCATATGCAACGCGGCTAAGTCGTTATCAAATATCTTGCTTCTGTTAAAAGCCGGACTGGCTATAAGTTTCCTGAGTCTTTCTTCCTCATTAGACCTGACTAATTTAACATCAACACGCTTCCTTAGATTCTCCATAGTTTTACCAAATACTGAGTTATTCATGAGCTTATATAGGTTCTTTTCAAAATCGCTATTAGCTATCTTTCTTAAATCTGTGTTCAGCCTTATATAGGGCTCCATCCAAGGGCTTTGATCAAACTTTAGAACTCTATGTATTTTCTTTAGTTTCATACCTAACGATAGATATAACTGGAGATTTCTGTAGTGAACTATATATTTTGTCTTATCCATCAAATTTGGTACAAGTTTTTCTACGTTAGCTATCCTTGTATTACCCATCAAGGAGTGTTGATATTCCGACATCCAATCTTTATTAACCATTAATCTTTCAGGAGCTAGTGGATAACTGTTATGGTCTTTATGTAACGAATTTGGATATTCCAAGTCAACTACTAGTATGTACCCTTTATCAGAATCTGAGGGGATATCATTCACTTCGATATCATTTACCCACTCAAAACAACTCGTGGGTAAAGGTTGACTCATAGCCTATCCGTACAAATTGTTGGCGTTGAGATATAATATATGCGTGTCAGGTTTACTCAGATCATATCCTTTCACTAATTTATTATTAGCATTAGAATACCTTTTCGCTACCATCGATATACCACCTCTTAATCCTTTCTCAATAAACAAGTGCATATCATAATCAGTGAGTAGTTTTAGTTCTACACAGGTCTTCTTCAACAATGCATCCCACGATAGTCCGGGACTGGAATAGTACCATGCCGGGTCCAAGCCGTATTGTTTTAAACATGTCTTTCTAAATATCTCGAATATATCGGCGAGTAACAGTACATCGGTTTTTAAGTACAGATCGTGATAATCGCCTAAATTCTTACAACCTAATTTATCCCAGACCGTCAGAGCGTGTTCATAATCGGCATCTGTTATTCTAGATTCTGTTAAGTTACTATAGAATGATTCGAGGGGTGGTAATTCAGTTTCTTCGAATCTAGACCAATCATCCATATATTCGTAAGGATATACACCTTTTCTTAGCAACAAATGACGAGTTATCTTATCGGTATATTGATTTGTTATCGCAAAGTCATCGGGATTGTTCGCATTAGCTAAATTGTCCAGGGAAGATAACAGAAACTGTACGGAGTCTATGAATCTAAGCCCATTACTTTGCTTTATTCTAGATTTCCCATCCTTGTCCGTATATTGTATAGTTTTAGTCAACGAGAATGATATGTATTTTTCCATATTATTAGGAATGCATGTTAAACCGCCGTCGGTCTTTGAGATAGCTTGTATAATGAGATGAGAATTGTATCCTCTAAGGTTATGAAACACAACGGGGATGGGTATTGTTTGAGAATTCATTTTTAGTTTCAAGTTACACTCGTTATACGCGGCTTCCCGATAATTACCCCTGACGTGGCAATGATCTCTTACGGAATCCCCATTCTGGGGTTTATTACAAACATGACAACTCGTTGACTTCTTATAGGCCCTCCAATCATCCCTCGTCATACACATGGGTTTCTTACACGATAAATTTTCCCTGATTATTCTCTCTTCATTTTGTAGATATTCTAGGAACTTTACCGCTGCATCGGGACCTCTGTAAATCACGGGCGGGTTTGTTTTCCCATCATACCTTACAACTATATATCCAAACCAACAAGGAATATGTTCTTGAGTTTTGTACGTAAAACTACTATCAGTATTGCGATCAGTATTTTCTATAGGTTTGATAAGCGCTTCGAAGTCGGCATAAATTACGTATGGTACTGGCATTTGATTACAATAATGTTCAAATTTTAATATATTTTTCCCCTCTTTAGGCATATCAATCCTGATAGCATTCTGTCCAACACCTCTGCAGTCTTCTTTATGCGCTTCTAATAGATCTTGTCTGCTGTACCCATGTAGGCGTCTTTCGCAGAAATATTTCTTTTCCTTATGTTTTGTTTGATCGTATAATAGCCTGCTTAAACTCTTTCTCCACGTATAATGATATTTACCATCTTTTTCTATCAGAAATGAATTGATTCTTGGAATATGTTCCGGAGCGGAGATTATCCTGTGTACAACAATTCCTTTAGAAGAATGTCCGAAAACATTTATAGCTAAATTATTTTGCTTTTCCGCCTTATCAATTTGTGAGATTGGTGTAGGTTCGTCTATACCATCAAGGTTGAGTCCATCGTTTTGGGGATAGCTTGAAGGTCTATCCGGATGTTTGTCTACGGGGAACAATGCAGATCTTATCATCATTCTGAAACAGTCATCGCCTTTATTTTTTACATTAATTA